GTTTTGAAACACATCTGCATGAAAATACATACTCTTGAATTTAACCTATTACAACCTTGAAATGGCTATCACAGGGATAAATTTAATTGTGCTGAACTTTGCAAACAAGTTCATTTATGACAAGTCCTTATCATATCTTGGAATAATAACATCTCTGATACCTGAATCTTAACCCACTGACGGCGGGCACATGTACTGTCCACTGTGGTTTTCATTTATTAATTTTGCTTACATAAAGAAGGCTACAGAAGCACCCACCCACCAATTAAAGGGCTTACATAAACTCACCTGTTTACCCTATCCCTTCATTTTCCCAGAAAAAAGATAAAAAGTGGTTTCTAGTACTTTAATTATCACTACTAACAGTAGTAGTAGTAGTAGTAGTAGTAGTAGTAGTAGTAGTAGTAGTAGTAATAGTAGTAGTAGTAGTAGTAGTAGTAGTAGTAGTAATAGTAGTAGTAGTAGTAGTAGTAGTAGTAGTAGTAGTAGTAGTAGTAGTAGTAGTAGTAGTAGTAGTAGTAGTAGTAGTAGTAGTAGTAGTAGTAGTAGTAGTAGTAGTAGTAGTAGAATACTATCAACAATGATAATAAGAATAAAGTAACTAGTAACTGACTGCTTAGGGACTAAATGCTTGTGAATCCATCTATTTGTAAACAAACTTTATAAAATAAAACCTCAGTGGACAATACTTGCATTCATACACACTCCCAGCATCAACAAGTTAACACCTATTGTTGCTTAAGTAAAAGTTTTAGGATGATAATGATTTTTAAGAGATCAGAGCATTCAAATACTATTTTGGCATCAATTAGTATTAAGCTATGAAGCAATATTGTGATATATACATACATATGAATATCATAAGGTTTTTGTCAGCAAAATTTCCCTTCTAGAGAGCACTCATGCTCCTCTGATGCTGAAATATTTGATATTTGCTACTTCTTTAGTCCTTGTATAAAGCCCAACTCAAAAATTTGAGTGAAACATCATCACCAAAGTAAAAAATCTGTCAAAATCAGGTATGACAGCTGCCGTCTTCTAAAAATGGACATTACTTTCTTGGCATGAAACACTGCAATATAACCCTCCCTGAGCCCTCAATATCTAAGACAAATGCAGTTATCTGGTTAGACTAGCTTCTAGCTTATAAATAGCAACCAAAATCAGAACTATAAGAAAGACAAATTAGAATATTTTATCTTTTTGATATTACTAAGAATACTGGAATGTTCAGTACCTGTTCTTTACAAGCAAATGGAACTGTAATTTATCCATATTACACAAGTTTAAGCAATAGATTCTGAAATCTATGAGTTTCAATGTCTTCCAACTAACATGTTGAAATTTATACATCTAATAGATAATAATATTAACAAATGCCCTGATAATATTCAACCCAGTTCTCATTATCATCATTACTAGTAATACCGAGAACATTACATATTTACTGATAATCAAAAAACAAAAACATAGTAATACCCATCATACTAATGCTAACAATCACAAAAATAAAATTTATAAGAGTATAATATAAACACCGATATTAAAACATTCTACCAAAATGAAAAAAGAAATCTAGCTGCCGCAGAAATATTCATGACACACCTTCCACACCAAAATCATCTATTTTTTCTATGACTACAAATAAAATCAGCTTTATACAAACAAAATCTCGCATAAAAACAGTCTACTTGGGCGCTGAAAAAAAAAAAAAAAAAAAAAAAAAAAAAAAAAAAACGGAATTCGAATACGAATCCATAAAAACAAACTCTCTTACAGGTTAAAAAATAAATAATTAAATAAAAAATGAAAAAAATAAAAAAAATAAAAAAAATAAAAAAACTATATGGTGAACTCAGCAGTGGAAGGCTTACTCTAGTCACTGATGGAAGGTGTTTTCTTTCATACCGGCCATGAAGTAGGCAGGAGCTTCCAACATCTTTTGGCAAGAGGGAATCTGGTTCATGGGTGGGGGAGCCATTGACTGGTGCGGCTCTAGATAGTGGCCTGGGAAGTAAATATCACCGTTGGGGATGTAGGCGTGCGGAGGCTCCTGCATTGCAGCGGTGTGTGCCGGAGGTGGAGGAGGAGTACAGTGAGGGTGGATGTGACCCATGGGAGGTGGAGGAGGGGTATACATTGGCTTGTTTTCTTGTTTATTATTCTGCTTCTTCTTAACAGTGCGGGGTTTCTTCGCTTTGTTGCTCCCCTGGCACTGTTCTATGGTTTGAGTTGGACTCATCTGATTCGGAGATTTTGCAGGTCGTAGATGCTTGCCTCTTCTATCTGGCTCTGGCACTAAAGCTCCATCCTGTTAGGAGAACACTTCTGGTTACTAAATCGCAATTCAAATGCTTGTTTAATTTACCATCTATAATAAACAGCAAATGTCACCATTTAAAAAAAAAAAAAAAAAAAAAAAAAAAAAAAAAAAAAAAAAAAAAATCCAAACCTTCATTTGATGAAATAAAGTTCGTAGTCTCTTGTCACTGGTAAGTCCGTGTGAGCTCATGAAAGCTCTTTTACAAACTCTCAAGTGCTTGCCACTAATACGAACGAAGTACTCAAAAGTGTTTTGTCTTCGGGATTCCTCTGCAGGCTAAAAGAGAGGAGAAATTCAAGAGAAAATTGTTTCCATAACTGCGAGCACTATGTCATTCAATATGATCTGCCAAGGTTGCCCAAAACCTGATCATTCCACACAATAATTTTCTGTGTCTAGGTTTAATTACACATCTCAAGCTATAATATAACAAACAAACATAATGCCGTTTCCTTACATTTACCTTCTTGGTGTAACGACGCTTGACATCACACAGCTTGAGACACGTGAAAAGGTATGAATTTTGGAGATTAAAGTCACTCAGATCCCAGAAATTATTGAAAATTTCTAAAATCTTTGAACCCATTCGCTCCCAGCACTTGAGAGGGCAGTTGCAAGGTGAACCAATCATCCGTGCCCCAACCACCTGCAATATCATTTACATTAATAATGTATGATTACACCAAAGTTAACTCATATTATCACATGGAGGTTGAGGGCGGTATGCACATGCACGAGTGTGTCCAATGTATGTCTGCTGGTGTATTTCAACACAATGTATCTAGTGAGATTGTCTTCACAAATCATTAATTTTGCTGATAATATTTACAAAAGATATCCAAAATATTCTGAATTACACATAAACAAGTAAACTATGTACCTAAAACAAACTGAACTGATAACTGCATTTTCTCTGTACTGGCCTAACAAGAAACAAAGAAAAATTTGAAATACACAACTAAACAGCACAAAGTGATCCACTCACCTTCCCTAAACGATTCACATATTCCCTTCCAGAATTTCTGTTCAGCTTTATACGCTGTCGCTTTTGTTTCAACTGGTTTATGGCTTCCTCCGATTCCCTCTTGATCTGTGTAACTGTTGTGTCAATCTTGAAAGGAAACAAGTGAACACATTAAATAATATATTAATAAATCTGATATATTATAAATTTGAAGTCCTTCTTCTACCATGTCAAATACTACTTCATGTGTCCTTAAATAAGCTTCAAGTGATCAGATGTAACTACAAACCATTAGTTCTCAACCATATCAAAAATGTAAACTAAAAAAAAAAAAAAGGTAAGACTATACCACAGGTCCATTCCTCGGATCTATGTGGATGATGTTCTTTTTTGGGACGACCACCCGCTTCCTTTTCACTCTACGGGCCTTCTTCACCGGCTGCTTCTTTTCTCGCTCCTTCTTCTTCTTCCAGGGCCGTCGCCACGTACGTTTCACGGGGACGGGTTTCACCTGGGAGTAGAGAATTGCACGGTCATCCCTGTCTTTGCATTTACTTGAATCCAATAGAAATTTGGGTTACATGTGATAGTAGGTTGTAAAGGCCGTATTTGTACTTACATCTGAACTACTAGTCCCACTCGTGGTTCCATTAGCTGCATTTGTCGAAGAGGTAGGCACATTGTTGACAGGCACTCCTTCGCTGGTGACAATGCCCGTAAACACAATCAGAGGTGGGGAGGCAGTCGCCGCACCGGGAGTTACGCCAGATGAGGGTGGCGTCTTTGCAGTGTTAGGGTGCTGCACTGCAACTGGCATTTGAAGGCCATTTACAAGCTGTACATTATTCACTGCAGGCTGGGCCATTTGCACCTGCTGCTGTGGCTGACTTGGCTGCACTTGCTGTTGCCCAGGCTGTTGCTGCTGCTGCAATTGTTGCTGCTTTGGTGTCTGTTGCTGAGATTGCATCATTTGCTGTGTTGATGGCTGAGGCTGTTGTTGCACTTGCTGCTGAGTTTGTTGTTGAACCTGCTGCACCTGTTGCTGTACCTGCTGTTGAACTTGCTGCTGAACTTGGGCTTGCTGTTGAACCTGCTGCTGAACCTGGGATTGCTGCTGAACTTGCTGCTGAACCTGGGATTGCTGCTGAACTTGCTGCTGAACCTGGGCTTGTTGTTGAACTTGCTGTTGAACTTGGGCTTGCTGTTGAACCTGCTGCTGAACTTGCTGCTGTACTTGCTGTTGAACTTGGGCTTGCTGCTGAACTTGCTGCTGAACTTGCTGCTGAACTTGGGCTTGCTGTTGAACCTGCTGCTGAGCTTGCTGCTGAACTTGTTGCTGTACTTGCTGTTGAACCTGGGCTTGCTGTTGAACCTGCTGCTGAACTTGCTGCTGAACTTGGGCTTGCTGCTGAGCTTGCTGCTGAGCCTGCTGCTGGGCTTGCTGCTGAGCTTGCTGCTGGGCCTGCTGTTGAGCAACCTGCTGCTGTGCCTGGTGGGCAGCTTGTTGAACCTGTTGTTGGGCTTGCTGTTGTTGATGCTGCATCATCTGACGCTGTGCTATTGACTGCGCTTGCTGCTGAACACTCAATTGTTGTTGCATCAACTGAGACTGTGATAACGTCTGTTGTTGCTGCTGCTGTACATGTGGATGCTGCTGCACATGCTGCTGTTGTTGATGTTGCTGCACCATCTGGGCCATGGAAGTTTGTGCTTGAATGTGCAAGTGCTGAGTACTAGCCGTCGACGGAACGGTGGTTGTCACTCCCGACAAATTGACCATGGACGTGACGGGGGCCGAGGAGTGTGGCGTCCCCAGCTGGCCCTGCTGCTGAGGCCGGGGTTCGTCCTTGACATGGTGGTGGCTGCCCTGGCCCTCCTGAACCACCTCGCAGAACTGGAGAGGCGAGAACAGGTCCTGGGCGAAGCCAGCTGCCTCGGGGGCCGGCTCTGCCATCTCTTCCCTGCAGCCTTACCCTCTTTCCATTAAAACCTGGAATCAGTAGCGATAATGCATTAGAAACACAAACTTCAAAAAAGTAATGTGTTGGTATTTATATATATATCTACCCACCTACCTTCTTCCCATATCACCCTTAAATTTTAATATACAAAAAGAAATTAATAAATAAACAAAAATAAACAGTAATAATAATAATAAAAAATACAAACATACAACAATATTTGTAATTTCAATTTAAGTATATGTATCAGATACATAACTAGAAAAATAAGTTAAGCTCACAACAAATAATAAAGTCATGTCAATTATCTAAATATTGCCAATATAAAGGAAACTTATCCCTCTAAGAAAAAAAAAGCAATACTTGCATTATGTCTTCTTCCACAAGCATAAAAAAAAAAGTATCCAAAATTTCTACACATGAATCTTAACCCATTCGTGACAGGGAAAATGAACAAAAAATGGGGAAAATGCTGTGCACATTTTTTTAAAAATTTTGTGAAATGTCTCTTCACATAGATGGCTCTGCCTTACCTGAGTGCTATGAATATCAGTGGTGTTATTTTTATTATAAACATTATAATTACTATAATGTTATAAACATTAGTAATAACAAAATAAGATAACATAAAATATTTTCATGAATTAAAGAAAAGGGTGAACAGGCGAGACAGGCAGTACTCATAATTGGCTCATTGGTGGTTTAGTACAAGTGTAGCCATCTCTGTGTAAAAACAATTAAACAAGTAAACTCACAGTGGGCATGTCATGTATACGTGACATGCCTGTCGCGAATGGGTTAACCCACAAAAAAGAAATAGTAACGAGGACGTAACAAGGCGAGTTTCTCTAACCTGCTCCCACTTCATCCGACTGGCAACGTTTATTAATTTTGTTGATATGGTTGGCTACACAAGAGGTTAGTCACCAAGGAGTCCTACCCAATAGCATTAGAAAATATAAAATTTTTACCAAAATTCACGGAACAACAAAGTTGGCTGAAATCAGGTAGGTCTACTAACACTCACAAAATAAAACTGTAGTAGATTATGCAATAATCAGGCAGTTATTTAAATTTAAATTTAGCACTGAACAACTGCACATCTTGCACATCTGATGATTTCATTTTTTTTATACAGAAATGATGCTCCTGTCGGTAATAATGAATTATCATGGCAACAAGACAATAAAAATCACAATAATAAAAATCATAGCATTAATTATGATGATGATGAAATTAACAGTACAATAAGATTAATAATATCATTAATCATAATAACTATGATAGCAATAATAATATCAACAAAAATAATAATATCAACAACTATAAAATATCCCCAATAATATCTACAATAATTTCTATAATAATTATTATATTAATAATACCAATAATATAAAA